AGTTCATGCTATTTCATATGAGAAGCTAAGGACATCTTAATGTATGCTGGCCCTCCCTTTCAGGTCTCATATTCTCCCATTTCCCCACAGCACATCTTTTGCTCTGCACACAGGGCTACTCATAATCCCCCTGCAGAGAATGCCTCCCTGCCTTTGCTCGTGTTGTTTCCCCTTCCTGGAATAACTACCCCCTCCCTTATTTTACTTGAAATATAATTGCTTACCTTTAAAAACCCAACTCAAAGAGTGTCACAAAAGGTATCTTCTTTCTGCTCCCATAACACAAATATGTAAGCAAAACATAACTCTATGATAATATTTCATTGCAGTACTTAATACCTGCTTGTTTGTGTGTCACTTCTCTGCTTGATGAAAATTTCCTTAATGTCAGGAATGTATCATCATATTTTTTAAAAATCCTAAAACCTAATTTCTTCCATTTGGCACATAGTAGGTGCTCAATAAATAATTATTGATTGAATCAAAATATATATTTAAAACATTTTATCATCTGAGCCTTTATTGCCTTTGAAAACTAGTAATTTAAGTGTATACTTCTACACTTTAAAAGAAAAAAATTGAAGTCTTTATAAACTTATGTTAAGAAATAACTTCTTGGTATAACACCAAAAGCACATAAAGGAAAAAAATGATAAATTGGACTTCATTAAAATTAAAAACACTTTCAAACACCGCCATCAGGAAAGTAAAAAAGATAATCGAAATACTGGAAAGAACTATTTGTAAGTCATATCTGACAAAGGACTTGTATCCAAAATATATATAAGCAATTCCTATAACTCAATAATAAAAGACAAATAACCCAATTAGTAAATGGGCAAATACTTTGAATGGACATTTCCCCAAAGTAAATACACAAAACGTCAGTAGGCATAAGAAAAGATGCTCAACATAATTAGTCATTAGGGATTGCAAATCAAAACCACAAGGAGATTCCACTTCATACCCACAAGAATGACTATAATAAAAAGACAAGTTTTGGTGAGGATGTGGGGAATTGGAACTCTCGTGATTGCTGGTGGGAATGTAAAATGGGGCAACCACTTTGGGAAATATTTCTTCAAAATGTTAAACATAGAATTATCATATGATCCAGCAATTCTTCTAGAAGAAGAATTCTCCTAGGAATCCCCTAGGAGTTCCACAAGAACTGTAAACGTATGTCCACACAAAGGCTTGTACACAAATGTTCACAGGTACATTATTCACAGTAGTCAAAAGGTGGAAACAATTGAAATGTCTATTAACTGATGAATATATAAATTACATGTAGAATAGTCACATGGTAAAACACTATTCAGCAATAAAAGATATGAAATACTGATCATATGCCACAACATGAATGACTCTCAGAAACATTATGTTCAGTGAATAAAGCCAATCACAAAAGACTATTCTGTGATTCCATTTATGTGAAAGGTACATAATATGTAAATCTATATTGAAAGAAAGTAGATTAGTGGCTGCCTGGGGCTAGGGGTGGGGGTCTGCTCTTAGGGGACTGCTAATGGGTATGAGGTTTCTGTTAGGGGTAATGAGAATATTCTCAAATTAGATTACATCAATAGTTGCACAACTCTTTAAGTATTCTAAACACCGTTGACATTTACACTTGAAATGGTTGAACTTTATGGTATGTAAATTAGATCTCGATAAAGCTATTTAAAAAAAGCATTGGGTTTTCCTTTAATTCTCTCATTTGCCCTTTATGTTAAGGTGCCACAATTTATTTTAAAGGTAGACCAAGATAATAATTATTTGGAACAAAGTTATATATTCTTTTTCTAAGGTATACACCACAGGTTTAAGATGACCTTTCCACTCCGAAATTATGAAAACATATATTAAGCTCAGCACAAAATATATTTAAGGTGATTTGAACAGATGAAATATTACACATTTTCAAACATATAATGTCAATAAGCACTTCAGAGAAAAATTGACTGTTCAAAAATTTTCCATGGGTAGTACTAAATTCCAAAGTAGCATAAAGACTATGCAGTACACATCTGTTACTTAAAGGAATTGAAGAGGTTAACATTTTGAAAGTGTTTTATTTTTGCTGTCTGATTACTGTTTATATTTACTTACATTTCTCTTACCTTGAGCCCATTAAAAAAATTGCAACTTTTAGACAAGATTTTAATGGACTTCAGGTGCACAGATTTGGAATAATCATTTTTCTAATTAGAAAATTAACATCTTCAGTTGCACCGAACAAATATTTTTAGAATTTATACACGTGTGTGTGTGTGTGTGTGTGTGTGTGTGTGTGTGTGTGTGTACGGTTGTATGTATATTCATATAGCTATACATACACACACTACATTCTTGTTACTTGTCAATACCATCCAGCATGTGTTATTTTATCGTTTTGATTTTTATGTTCTGATTAAAAGTAATATGGTAAAGGGTAGATGAAATGACCTTGGAATTCAAAGTTCTGCATTTTAATTCAAATCAACTTCGTGTAATTACCTAAGTCTCAGTTTCTCCAAAGTTCTTAAGGACTCAAATCTTAAATGTAATTTTTCAATGACAAAAAACATTTTTCACTGCAAAAATATATTTTCTAATGATTTTTGTAGTTTCTAAAAATTGCCATTTTTTAGTTAACTAGAGAAAATTCTCAATGTGAGGAGGCAGAAATTCTATTAAAGCTTAAGGTTGCCTCATTACTTGTAAGTGGTGTACAGAGTTCGAAGATATTTGCTATTATTACAGAAATCCTGTAATATCATACTTCAGTTATCCCAAATTTGGACATAATTGATTGGCAGTTCGCTCTAGCCTTTCTCCCTAAACCAGTTCTCAATTGCTGTCTAATGAATATAAATAGGCTTTTCCCAGTTCAATGTACAGATAATGGTATCTTATATAAATGTCACTATCAATGTTTTTGGGTTTTGTGTTCATAAAAACTGTCTAAAATGTTGGTTTTTTATTAGCTTCATAATAATACTGCTCTGCATTGTATGTGGTATTGCACGCCCCAACGGAGGGGTTTAACTTTGGAAAGGCAGTTCCCTTCCACTAAGAGCAATTGCTAGGCATGTTCTCAGCTCTGATCCCTCCGCAAGCAAACAATCCCAGCAGCTAGGGGAATCAAGACTCTGAAGGAGCAACTGGTCAACTGATCTTTGATCCTTTCCAACACTCTTACACCTTTCACTAGATAATAAGAAGTTTGGCACCTGCAATACAAAAGTTCAGTAGTATTTTCGAAGTACTAATTCTGCAGATCCAACTGGTATCTTAAGATGCTATCTTAAGACTGACTCTTTCTCTGCCCTTTTAATTTTGATTTGTCCAACTGTTTCTCCACGTTTTAGGTAACTGGACTTACCAATACCTCTTGCCATTTGTTTGCTTTCCCATTCTCTCTATTTTATCTTTCTCACTGCTTTTGTGATGCTTTCTATACTCCTCCTTTTATCCTACAGTCAGTTTTGTCTAATATGACATTTACATTCCAAAATATGATGAGTTATGCAAAATTTCAAAATAAAAAACACAGGGCTTATGGGGGAAAGGGGTTTGCAGTACAACACTAAAACCTTTATCAATGACTTTTAAAAGAAATAGAATACTATTTCTAAATACTATTTCTAGTATTTCTAATACTAAAAATAGCACAGTTTTACACATGTTAAATGGTTAAGTATTGCATAACTGCTGTGATAAATTTAACTCTTTACTTTGAAAAAGATCTGAAGTTTGCTGATCACAGTGGGTGTCAGAAGGGTTATAGCTGTGATCTGTTGTGAAGTGGTGGAAGGAGGAGTATCTAAAATCAGACAGGTGTAACACAGATATGGATGGGCTGACTCAAAACGCTTGATGAAGTGTGAAGTTGGTGTTAGATGTTTGAGGAAAGTGCATGTGTACATTTTGTATATTCCTACACTGATTGATTCAGCTAGGTCTGGTTTTCTGTGTTCAGCCAGTGATTATCAGGAATGAGATTGTACATAAGAAAACACAAAAGTTACATTATGTTCAAACTGTTTCTTTTTTTTTCAAATTGTTTCTTAATGTATCTATCATGCTAGAATGAATTCATATTTTCCAAACAAGCATTCTAACAGAATTGATAGTACTTTTTTTGCTTTTTCTCCATACTTTCCTATTTCTAGTTTATTGTGATCTTTTTCTCTTAGCACTTATTTCTCCCCAGCTCCTGCACTGTCTTCACCGCAAAATTTCTGCAGTGCAGCTAGGCTGTAGGTTATCCTTTTGAAGACATGAGTTACCCTGGTTTCCAGGCAGCCCCTTCAAAGAGAGGAAAAATCAGTCTCAAAGTATTTAAACTCTTCAGCCTCTTTCCTGTGGATTGTGTGCACTCATGACTTTTATGTTGATAGCAATAAAGAAAGCAAGACTGCTATGCTA